CAACAATGCTTCCTTATGGTCCTGCTTGTCTGGACTTTGATGACTGCAGGTTGCCCGGAGGCGCCTTTCCTCTTCTGGCCCCTTGCAACACCGCAGCTTAGATCTTCTCCCACACTCCTTGATCAGGGCTCACCTGTGCCAAAAGGGGCCTTGAAGAAAATGACTACCACAGTCTGCTCTTAAAGCATCCCCATAGTGCCCAGGCAGAATAAAAGAAGCCACATAAAGAGCCAGGTTATTTCTCTCCTTGAGCACTGATATTCAGGTCTTACCAAATCACATGGACATATTGCACCTGTCAGCAGCAGTCTGATATCCCAGAGAAGGTCTGCAAAGCAGGTCAGGGCACCTGAGATTAATTAAGTGTGGATTGTTTATACAAGCTTTGTAACGCTGCATTGCATCCTGGTTGTTTATTCATGTCCCTGTTATGCCTGGCTGGTGAAAGATGCAGCAAGAAGGAAACTATAAAGATACATCCATCTCTCCAAGTAACGCAGACTGGAATAGAGCTACGGATGACCCAGACCTGAGAGTGAAGTGTCATCCAACGTGGAGAACCGCGCTCAGTCCCAGCAGTAGAATTTGGGTACAGTGCGTTGCCAACCTCACTTTTGGCACTAGAGCTATCTCCATGAGTACTCGCATCATGGCACTGTGCTCAGGAAAACAGCCCACGGGCCAGCTGCATGAGGAGCCTGCTGGATGCAGGCGCTGCTCTGTGTAGAGGTGTGCAGTGCTCAGTGCCAGTAACCCAGGACTGAGGCATGAGCAAAGCCAGGGACCTTGGCAGAGCGATTGCAGAGTAGCACAGGATCTGGCTGCTCATCTCTCTAGCATCTGAAGAGCTCACAAAACAACCTCACTATCACACAAAGCTCCGCAGGCAAATTCTAAGTCATAGGCACACTGTTTCATTTTCTAATTTTATTAATTTCTCCCTCCTTTTTCTTCTTCATGTTTGATTTTTATTCCTTCTTGACTGTAAAGGACTTTAGCACTCCATTGCTAATGTTCTCATATGCAGGTTTTATTTTGGAGCATTTTAAAATCTGTAGCATCATAAGCATAAATACTACCCCTTCATAAGAGGCAAAATATGCTTACCATAAAAGAAATGATACTCTTAAAAAAAAAAAGGCAATATAAAAACATAGCTGAAAGCAATGAGAATTAGCTAGGAACCGCCCTGCTGAGCAACTACACAGTTGAGAGTGGTTTGTAGTAAGGGGGCAAAGGTGCTTCTCTTATGTGAACCTGCAAGCTCGAACAAAAGCATTAGAGAGAAAAAAAAGGGCATGAGAAGAACTGCTCTCAGAGAGGTAAGAAGCTTGTACAAGGAAAACGACAGAAATGTACATAAGGAGGAGAAAGGCAGGTGCAAATTTGCACTCAGAAAAGGAATTTTGCTCTGTGAGGGAAAGTGACACATACACTTCCTGAAGGCCCAGATCTTGTTCATCTTCAAAAAACTCAACTTCTAATTCCCATTCTTACATATTTTGTTTGCAGCTGGTCAGATGCAGCTAACGGCTGCAGCTCTCTGGCCGCAGGCCAGTGCGTTTCAGAGCCCTGACCAGAAACTAGGCATCCTAAATGAGCAGTCAGCCCTGGCTACTGGCCAGCACATGAGCTTTTCACTCACCTCCGTGCTGTAGTCCCAAGTTGAAATGCTGATGATGGCCCCTTTGTTGTGGGCTGTTGAGACACAGGGAAAAGCAGGAGAGCCTCCTGGTTTATGTATCAGGCATAGGGTCCACCAGAGCTAGCCAGAACATTCATGGCCCAAGGGTCCAGCCTGACAAACCCATGTGTCAATGACTGTGTTGCAAGGATGGGTGCAGTAAGGGCCATGCTGCCACCTGTTCAACAGCACCAGGACTTCAGTGCTGGGCATCTGCCTGGTAGCAAGACTGAAGGTAGGGCAAAAATTCCACCACACAGAGCAAACTGAGGAACAAGTCCATGGTACGCTGACGGGGAACTTGTCTTTCTGGAAATCTCATGTAGGTACTGTGACGCTGCAAAAAGTACGTCTACTCTTGAAAGGTCTGTACACCAATTTTAGCATTTCTGACCCAAAAACTCCGTGATTTCCTCATCAGTGTGGGTTATCTGAGGTAAGAATCAGGAGAGTTTACTCTAGAGTCTGCTTAGCCCCAATAGATCACCAAGTTTTAATATCACATAACCTACAGGCACTATTCTTAATAGCTCTACCTCCCTTACTCCCATTCCTTCCCCTATATATCTGCTGTTCTATGTGTTATCTGAGGATGTGTTTTCAGGAGCCACTAATTCTTTTAAAAGGACTTTGGCCCACAGGAAAACAAGGTAATACCTCAGCTTACTACCATATTAGCATCTTACACTTTCACATTTTTACATATTTTTATTTATAGTTTAACAACAACAACAAAAAATAGATTTAGGCTCTGTCTTGAAAAAGCTGAAATGCTAACTAAACAAGGACACTTCCATTTTTGTCCTATTCCTGGTTCTCATGTAAATACAAATTTACCTTACTATATAAGAGAATGGCTTATGGGGACAGGTCAACTGCAGTGGTAAACCAGGAGAATGTGGTGAACCCCCAAATTATATTAAATATATTGCTGTCATATCTGTGGTGTAAGCTGGCGATTTTTGCACACTTTTAAGTTTTAAATATGTTTGAGGAACATTCATAAAATTCCCAGCAAGGCTGGCACATTCTCCCTCATAATTCAGGGTTATCGTTTTATAACACACTCAGTTGAAGAAATAAAATGTTGCATATAATTAGAGTCAAATTGTAGATTGAACATCATGTCGATGCAGTTAATCTGTGAATTTCGCAGTCCTTAGCAAAAATGATCTGGCTGCAGTATCCTTTATTTTGATGGCTAAAGAAAGGAGCTGTACGAATAGTTTAGAAGCTGAGTCACAGCTGCACAACAGTTTATGGGCTTTACTTTAGGAAAGTGAAGAAGCAATTTACTCAAACCTCAGAGAAGTAGCTATAAGTTTACATTTGGAATTGGCTCCTAAAATAGATCACTCATTTCATGATCAAATGAAAGAACAGCCTTACTGAGATCCAACCAATCATTATGCGGTTTTACATGTAGTGGTGATAGAAGATATATCCTTTTTCCATTGTAAGCTTCAGAGATGTTCATTTTAAATAACACAGCACCTCATAGTGATGCTGAAAGAAAACAGTTGTGATTAATCTTGTAATAACTAAGGGATAATATTGCAGTCTTTGCCTCACAGGTTGAAGCCCCATATGGCCTTTATTCAAAGCACTTTATTCAAAGAAATGCACTGTCCAGGCTGATTAGAATAACTAATTGTTATTCTGCTCGTGTGGGTTGTTATGCTGCCATTCACAAGATGAATCAATTGAATAAGGGGACTGGGATTTGGTTTCTGTGTTAGCAAAGATGTGATTTCAGCAGTCCTTCAAAGTAGCCAGCGGTTTCATTAGCCCTACAACTGGGAGCATGCTCTTCCAGTTGGACATCCTGCATATTAGCTCTGATGAAGTGCTGCAAAATCAGGCAGAGAGAGAGCAGCTTCGATCCTGAATATATGAAACCATCTCAAAGAAGAACAATTCTTTATAGCATTTATTTTCCTATGCGTGCATATGCAATGTTTTCACTATTTGCCTGTGGAAGTGGTGGCTCTGTTCTCCTCAGTGACACATTACCAAAGTGTACCAACATGCCAAAAATTCAAAACTTTTTCCATGACTGGGAGGCTGCTGTTGCATTGATTTTCAGTGGGACTGGAAGACCATGGCTTGAATGCTTCAGTGAAGGACCCATTCACAAAAATGTGAAGTCTAATCAGTGATGAATAATGGCTGCGAGTAACAGTTCTTTACATTTTATGGGCTTACAATATTTGCATTCTTAATTTTGGGGGGTAAGCTATTCTCATCTGCTTCTCAGTTTGCCCATTAATATCTGATTATATTTTAAAATTTGTTTTTAAAACAAAGAGTGGCTGCTGGAAAAAAAAAAAAGATGCACAATTAAACTAAGGATAAAGTGGTATCACAGAATTATAATTCAGCTCTTTGTTACCCAAAAGAGATGATCTAATATTTTTCACCAGAGCATACTGATAAAGTTGGAGCAGTCATGTCAATGTTAGTATAAAGAAATCAAATTCTGTTTTGTACTGTAAGTTAGTGCTTTTCTCTCAGAAATAGACATACAGGAAATAGCAACAATATTGTCATTTGCATCAAAGTGATTCCCAAATTTGTCTCATAACACAGGTAAGTTTTAAATAGAAATTGTTGTTTATTTTGGAAACAGCCCTTAATTTTCGATTAAAAATAAATAAATAAAGAGACAAATTTGAGAATTACTTTCATGTGAAAGACAATTTCTTGTGTTGACCTGAGAGAGAAGAGGAAAGCCAAATTTTCACAGAACTGGTCAAAGTAGAATTGCTTTTCAAGCTTAAGGTCATACTATTTTTGCTAGTAGCTTTATTGTTTTCCTAAAAGCAGACAATTATTTTTGCCTTAAAGTGTGGTCTTCCTCAAGTGTAGCATCTTTTCTATATGATTAGATTCAATGAGACTTCTGAATGTTCAGGAAAAAAAAAAACCGTTCTTGCAAAGTTTTAGTCCATCAATCAGAAAACTGTTGTTTAATACACTCTGTGGTAGTTACCTCATTAATATTGTTCTCCGAGAGCTCTATGTGTAATTTTTGTAGGAATGGAATTCTTCCTGGAGGCCAGTAAGGCACTAAACCATGACTGTATATTAATTTAAATATCTATTAGTGTGTCTGGCTCTGATGACTGCAGCACGGCAGCAGTAAAGATATTCATGTTTTTCACTTTTAAACACAGCTCAAGCATTTACAGCTTTTTATGTTTTTCTCCTTCAAGAAGGCTGTTACAGCTCCATTTTAAGCCATGACAAATCTTATATTTTAGTTATTCTTGAGTGGTTTGTTGTATCTAACAGTGCTAATTTCTATTCTTGTCAGGTATAAGTTTATCTATTCATGGGGCTGAAAAGTGCGTGCAAGTCTGTCAGAGGAGAACTGCAGCAAGCTACCCAGTGTCACAGTGTCCGTCTGTGGTTGGGCATCTTTCACTCCCACAAATCAGAAAGTCAGTAAAAATGGAAGCGTCGTCTTCTGGATCTAGTATTTCAGCAGTTGGTGGTGGAAAAGCAAAACGTCATCAGCCAGGTAACAGATTTGGCTTGACACATTTTTCAATTCTGTTTCTTGTGTGGTGTGCCATGTTGCTATGAAGCTGATATTGAAAGCATCAGCTCATGCCACCATAGAGTTCAATCTATTGGTCAACAGAGCTTGTTCCACCTGTGTATGATGTGTTTTGGACAGTTGTAGATTTAATTGGGAGAAACAAGAATTGGGACAGCTGGAACTTGGAAATAAAAATATAAGTGTAATCATTAAAAAAAGGAAAACAGTCTGTAATGGAGACAATATGGAGAATGCTTTGGGGCATGGGGCTTTGAATACTGCTCCCTTTATGTACCCAGTTTTGATAGACCTTGAGCTGAAGGCTGCAAGCATCACTATGAAACTCGAGAAATGACACTAACTGTGATTTTGAACTAAGAATTTGGGACAAGTTAGAGTGTAGATCAAACTCTTACTTCTACAATGAAATCAAAAACTCTAGATCTGAAAGTGATTTTATAATATATGTTAAGTGGATAACACAATGAAACTTTTTTTAAGAAGTCAGAATCTCCTGGGAACCATCAAATTCTAACTGACATAATGAATTAATTCCTTGGTATGTTAATTACCAGAGCTATTTTAAAAGTATCTTTTCCTATAACAGAGGAGAACATTTGCACTGGCCATATTCAGAATTTCCTCACGGTGCAGATTAAACCCCAGATATTTTTCTAGGGTGAAACACATTAACACTGCCCAGGAAGCCAGTTTTGTGGCTCTTACAATGAAAAGTTTGGGATCTTCCACGTTTGTTGCCCTGAGAAGGACATAATTCACACTGTACACAGCTCTGGTACAGAGCCCACTTATGGGAGACAGCCAGTTCTGTCTGCACACTCTTACCATGCTTCTATTTCCTTGAAGATCTGAAAGTTGGTTTTTGTAGAAGTTCAAAATACAAGTGAGACATTTTGGACTGCTATGTAGGTCTATTGCCATGAGTTTTATGTATTCATACTATTCAGTTGCCATAATCTTTGCCAAAATGGATTGACTAAGAATTTACAGTGACTCACAATCGTATGATTTTTTCATATCAATTCTTCTCCTCACTTCTTGGCCTTTTATTTTTTTCAGTTTCCGTGTTTTTGATTTGAAGTACAGAAATTACTATTACAGCCATATTGCTGTTGCTAAAGATACGTAATCATGACTAGAGCATGTTAACACACTGATAAAAAAGCTGCACCACAGTTTGTGAAACAAATGTCTTGAACACACACAACAGGTCATACAAGCAGTGTACATTGTGTGCAGATATACATCTTGCCTCTACTGACTGCTAGACTTGGCTTATGTTTTAATACAAAATAATATAAACAACATATATAGGCTTTTGAATGAGAAAATGATTCCTTTTCCAATGTAGCACAGAGGTATCCTAAAATGGAGCACATCAGTAGAAGTGTGAGTGATTGGGACCACCCTTGTCTAAGGAATTTAAGTTTCAGTAAAGTGATATGAGATTAGTTTTGCTTTTATGCCCTGCTCTTTAGTTTTGCTTTTATGTCCTGCTCTTTATGTATTTATGTATGACCTACGGAAAGCTTGCTGGCTTGGTTCAGAGAGACATTTAGGATCCTGAGCACCATTGAAGCTGATAGATGTTAATGGTATCTAGAACCTTAAAGTCTGCAGACTTTTCTGAATACATTATATGCTATAAGTTTTATCTTAGCTGACTTACAATGTCATTGCTTCATTTGGTACTGGTATGCAATAATATTCTTATGATTTGGTTCTGATTTTTTTATTCTATAAAGCGCACTAAATTTGTCTCTCAGTCTGGTTAAGTTGCAACAATTAAGGATGTATGCAAGTAGAGTGTAAAGAAAGATTTATTAAAATAGCCCTTCTAGGAGGAAATTTAAATTTAAAACTGAAATCATATTTTTTTTTCATTCCAATTCAGTCACGAATTAAGTCATTTGTTCTAACCTCATAAATAATTATTCAAATGTGCTTACTGAACAACGATGATAAAGCTGTACATTATAAATGGATTGGTATTTGAGCATGAAGATGTTCTGACTTATGTTAACTACCCAGGTAAAAGATCTTCTACTGTCAATTTGCAAGCCATCTTCCTGCTATTGCATACAGTAAATTCCCAGGGATTTTGTTCAGCCCATTTTAGGTATCTAAAAATTGGGTTATATACATAAATTGGGTTCTTGCTTTCTTTGAGTATGAGTTATGAAAATCATGTCTCACGATTGGAGAAGTTTACATTATTTTCGGTCTGAAATTTCCTTTGTGCAGGTAACACTAGTCAGAAAGCAAAGATATTACTGCATAACAAATTGTACAGAAGAGTATTTTGAGAGCTTGAAATGGCATTTTAAAATTTTGTCAGTTAAAGAGATAGAACCATGGAAAGAAAATTGCCTTGATAAAATGAGTAATGAGAGAGTAAATGTTTCCCCTTTGGCAGCAAACCACTCTTCTTTCCCCATACCACTTTTTTTCCCATTGCCAGTTTTCTTTCTTTTTTTTTTTTTTTTTGAGAATGACACATTTTTTATTATCTATTACTAATTCCATTTGACTGACAGCTGCTTCCATTAACTGACATTTATGCTACAGTCTAGTGTGGAGGAACTATAGATATCATTCAGTGTTACTGCTCTTGTTTTCATCTTACTTCCCTCTTGGTTCTATTTGCTGTTCACAAAGTGCCTGGGGACAATGGCCTCTAGTGTCATTTTGGGTGCCATAAACAAGGAAAGTGGCCAGTGAGCAGTAAACTGTCAGTAATGTGTGGGTTGTTGGTTTTCTGGTAGGTTGGTTTCGTTTTGGTTTTGGTTGGTTTTTTTTGTTTGTTTTTGTAAAAAGATATTTATCCTGGGCAAACATACAGAAAGGTGTTGCTCAGCCTGAAGCAGAACAGCAACTGATGAACTCTGATTTTAAACACTTCACAAGGTATCACATAACTGAAAAAAACAAACATACAAAACCAGAAGGAAATGGAAAGAGGAGGAGAGGAAAACTGTTAATAATGGTAATGCCAGCAAAGACTCTTTTTATCTCTGCCTACTCTCTCTGAGGAAAGGCTATTTGAGGAAGGAGAAAAGCAAAGATAAATCTTTTGGACAATAAATCTGAATGTAATGATTTGAATGATTTGAACATTGACTTATTAATGTAAATGTGCATTCCTTCCAGAGTCAGGGAAGGATGGTATTTTAATTTTGGGAATAATCTCCAGTTATCATCTCCCAATTCTGCGAATGATATAACTTGGCTAACGAGATAATGATCTACTGAAGTACGAGATTCCAAATATGTGGGGAGGTCCTTGGGCTGTTGTAAAATGTTAAAACTTCCTGGAAGATAGTTGAGGATTGATTTGCCTGCACACAAGGAGGCTTATTTTGAAAGCGATGGTAATCAGCAGCTAGGTTATCTGCCAGAGCAGGGTGACCAAGAACTAAACAAGCCCTGAGGTTAAATCCTCTTCCCGCTTCATTCCCTCAATGTCAAGATTAGGCAAATCTGAGGACAAGAAAAATGCTTATCTCATTTCTGACTGCATTGCCGCTTTGTGAAGGAATAAGCAGGACTTTGGTTTCCGGTCTTCTGCCTGCCCTTTTTATATTATTGTTGTTGTTTTTTATCATATATTTATACACACACTATTATAGTTTATGTTATTTTATATTATTGTATATTCCAAATCAGAGTGCTGTTACCTTGCTTTTTCTTTTTGTGATTACTTCCTTATTCTTGGACTCTCAAGAACTTATCAAAGATGGTTTCTCTAGCAATTCTTAAATTCGCTAACTGTGGAGGAATTACCTTGCTCCGTACATCTGAGTAGCAGTGCGGTGAATTCTTTAATTGCCTCTGGAAGCTTCTGAGGTCTTTGCTAGATGCCAGACTTGCTCACAACTGATACCCACTTTGTTCTAACAAAGATTCAGAAGTTTCCCAGCAACATTTTCTTTTCCTTAGCTTTCTACAAAGATCTCTGGGTAAATCTTAATAAAGATACATGACTGCAACCAAAAAATAAATAAATAAAAGTAACTATGTAATATTGCATAACACATTGTAAAACTAATATGAACTGAACTAAACTGAAACTAATTTCAAAGTCCAGCATGTACCCAGGCACAATTCTTCAGTGTCAGAATTTGTGTGAATTACAGATTGTTGAAGCAGTATATGGTATTTTCAGAACTTTTCTTACCGTTTTATGTGCACTTTCTATTACCGGCTTCAAATTGAAAAACCCCCAAGTCAGTGAAGTACACCTCAATACATTTTGAGGTATGTACAGAAGTGTATATATAATAATGTAGGGTAAGCCTTTATGTAATTTATATAAATACAGAGAATTCTTCCATAAGGAAGGATTTAAATCAGTTTATTTGAAAGCTTATTTCAGAATTTAGTAAATATGTAAAGAGAATTCAGTTTAAAAAAATCATTAAAATGTTCAAAAAATTTATGCTTTCACTAATTTACTGTTCAAGAAAAAAATCTTCTTCAAAGCCAAAGAAATGGAGAACTGCTTGCTACCTGATATAGCACAGGTATATCCACGATGTTTGAAAGAGCTTTTTGTTCAATTACAAGGAAGAACCTACTGAAATTACTGGTTTCTGGCATCCTGATAGAAGTCTAGTGCAGTTGTTGGCATTCAGTGAAAATCTTTTTTGTTAGTCCTTTTCCTTGCAAATAGAAGCTGATGGAGAAGTTACAGAAGTTAAAAGCAGAGATATATTGCCTTAGGGATGCTTTTCTTGATTTCAGGGGCACTCTGTGGCATATCAAACCGTGTGTTTTTTCTTGATGCATGCAGTTTTGGGGCATGAAAGGTAATCATGAAGGAAAGAAAGAAGGTAGAGATGTAGGTCAGCAAAATAACTGATTTAGGAAGTTGGAAAAAATCCTTGCAACTGTGGTAATCAAAGTTAAAGCAAAAAAGGAAATGTATGTTTAATGAGCTTAGTCACAACTTAATGAAC